ATGCAACGTGTAAAAAGACAGTATAAGTCATTATAATCCATAATTATGTCCCCACTGGATGCAACGAATGCCTCGTTTATAATGGGTTTTCGTGTTTTTGAATCATCTCTCCGGCATGACAGGGCATCATCACAATATGGTGAGGGGTGTAACATTTCCGTCTCACGCTTGAGGTATTTGGCCAATCACAACGCACTGGATAGCTGGCCAATCACAGCACAACTCGCTTATTCAGACCGATGAGCTTTGTAAAAATCGACGCGTTTCAGAAAGGCGGGGCATAGAGGAGAAACAATAATGTACAGTATGTGGAAAATAATGTGGTTTTTGAACCTTAAACCGCATAAACACATTTCATTACACCAAATACACAAAATAATGTTCTTTTTAGCAACATCATATGACCCCTTTAAGTTTTGGACCAGAGCTCTAGTAAGGCTCTGTGAAATCAGTTTTATATTTTCCTAAATTCCGTAAATTTTTTTTACAGATTCTGTTTTTTCCGTTTAAATTTTTCTGGTTTCCATTTTTTTTTTTTTTTTTCAGTTTTAATTTCTCTGGAGTCCTTTTTAATGGTTAAATTAAATTTTATTAATCAAAAAACATGTCTATTAAAAATCATGAAGTTTATACAATTTAACATCAATTTCTTAAAAGTTTAGCAAAAATTACATTTTTAGGGCCCTGTGAAATGTGTTTTATTTTTTCTCACATTCTGTTTTATTGTTACCAATTTCTGTGTTTAAGCATGTCTAATTATTTAAATGCATAAAAACAACTTTATTTATTACATTTATTTTTACAATAATAGGGCCCTATTAATTTTTTTTCCCCCAGTGTTGTGTATTTAAATTTTTCTGGCTATCAAATTAAGCCATAAAACATTAATTTAATTTATATTTTAATCAAAATGAAAATACATTTTTTGACAAACAAAGTTAAATTAAAACATGGAAGAAATATTGTGTGATTATCCCTTAAAAAAATAAAGTTGTAATATTTTTATTATTAGTAGTAGTAGATTTGATTTTTATGTACTGACCTATTTTTAATTTATTCATCCAAAATTTGACAAATTCCATGACATTCCATGTTATACATAAAATTCAATTTTTATGACTGGATTCCGCCATTCCGTCCGCGTTTTCCACATCGCTGAAATCATACAGTAGGGCCCTGCTCTAGTCTGCTTGTAGCAGACCCACATGCTCCCTTGAAGGATAGATCAGGTTGAAACATGCTTGGAGGTACTAGACATTACAAGGTCCCGGCTGCTGAGAAGGTCCTGCGTACTGTAAAAGACTGCATAAGAAACAGAAGGGACAGCAACAAATGTAAGCAGCAGGGCGGAGGTCCTGGGTGACCTATCTGGATTCAGGCCAGTGCTCAAGGAGCTGGCATATGCTGAAATGAATATGGGCATAAATCACAGATTTATATCTAAGCGTGTCCCACTCCAGAGACTCTCCCAAACTCTGATCATATGCCTCACCCAGGGCTCATTGAGATGAGATGGAGCTGTCTTGTGTAATTGTTTGGGTCAAGGTTGGCATGCTTTAGCATTGAACTTGACTTGCCAGGGTTTGTTACATAAACTTGTTCTGTGCCTAAGATTAAATCATTTTGATAATTGCATATTACTAAGAGATTAGACTTGGGTCAGTGGTGGACAATGTCTTGTCCGTATAAGGATGCATGACTTCTCATGAGCAGCCCTGACTGGTGACCGTGCCCTAATCTCCCTAGCAGCACTTATTGTTGTGTGTTTATCATTCAATCTCTGGTGACTATAAATAGGTTGTGTCTTTTTGTTCTTCTGATTCCTGTTTCTGCCCTGATATGTTCAGACCTGTTGTGGCCAGACACTGAAATAAAGCAGGTCACCGTGCAGCGCTGCAGATCTTTCAGCACACAGTTGCTGAGCCTGTTTTTCTGATCCTCAGAGGCTGCGAGATGCGCTCTCCATTTGCGTGGGTTGTTTTTCCTCTTCAGTTTGTGTGCGTGCTTGACGGCGTTTTCACTAATTAATGAAGAGCACCTTTAATTAGAGTCTCAGTCAGCTCTCTGCTGTTGGTTTTGTCTGCAGATGTTGTTGTATAATCTGGAGGCGGCACATTAACAAAGCCTCTGAGGCCAAACAAAGGCTGAGGTTCTGCGTGCTTCAGCTTCCTGGAGGTATTAAAACATCATGGTTGAAGCTGTGAGGATGTTTTCCCCACCCTGGCTGCAGCCTCTGTGCTCAAGACTATGTGGTCTTGTTTTGAAAGCAGTAGTTACTAATAATGAAAACAGTGAGAGGCAGGTGTTTTTTCCTTCACATCTTCACATCTTTTGCTTTTTTGATTTTTATTATAACCTCAGTTTTTGCGTCAATTGAGACATCCTAAAAAACAATTCTACATCAGTCCACAAATTAATAATAATAATAATAATTATTATTTTTTTATTATTCAGTTATAACAAATAGAATAATAATAATAATAATAATGAATACTAATACTACTACTAATAATAATAATTATTGTTGTTGGCCTTATTATTATTAGTTATAGTAAACATTTAATAATAATAATAATTGTATTCGTATTTTGTAATTTTATATTATTATTTTTATTATTAAGTTATAAGAAATAGACTAATAATACATACTACTTCTACTAATAATAATAATTATTATTGTTATTGGCATTATCATAATAAAGACAATTAATTTATTCATTTTAGTAGTATTTTATAATTTTATTATTATTATTATCATCATCAACCTTATTATTATTATGCATTTGGCCACTGATGTTATTATTAATTCTGTTGATTAAAAAAAAAACATAGGAGGACAAATCATTACAAACATGACGCTGCATGGAAGTTTTCGGCCAGATGTAAACGCACATCTTTTCAAAGGAAACAACCAACTAGCTTTTTGCATCATTACGCACATTTACTTTAATGCTTTTGGCACCTTCATCCAAAAGCAGTCTTATCCAAAGTTACTTCGAATGCATTAAAGGTACACTTTTATGCTAGATCTTTACATGGATGCGCATTTTGAGTTGTGCTGTTGCTGAATAATTACAATGCATAGTCTTGGTGTAATTGCATTGTCTTCCTGAAAAAAGCCGAGCAAATCAAATGGCGAGATCCCTAAGGATTCCCACCTCTTAAGATATGCAGTATAACACAGTCTGGAGAAATAAAGGCAGGTGGAATGAAAGATCCTATAATAAAATGGCTTAAAATCGCAGAATCTGGGGCTTCAGTGTCCAAAAGATAAATGAGAGTGAATTGTGGCTGTAAGCGTATAGAGATGTGTGAAAATACAGTCATCCTCCGAGCCCTCGGCAGCCGTTCCGCACGCTGCATGTGACTCATATCTGCACAGACGCTCAACAGCAGCCCAATCAGATGTGGAGGGAAATGGTTGCTATGGAAACAAGGCATCCATACTGCAGCAGATGCAGAGTGCATTTGATTGTGTGCTAGTGCCAAAGTTTGTCCGATATTAAATACTGTCAGATAGAATCTTACACACGGATGTGTAGCCCTCAACATTATGTGCCAAGGTCTGAATGCTATTTGAATTTCATCAACACCAATTTTTCATATGCACCATGGACTCTTGTTACGTAATTCTCTCATGTCTTCAGGAAAACCACACTTGTAATAAAAGCACGCACTCAGATATATAAAGATGAATGAATTGACCAGATGAATGAACATTTAACATACTACATTTATTAAAAGTTATATTTGAATTACATGCCTAAAATAGATAAAATAATCATTTTAACGATTGTATCTACTTAATAACATCAGGATCCATGGCAGCATTACATAAAATCCTGTAGTTATCACCAACGTAAGTGTGATGTCATAAGTTAGCAGTTGCACCCACAGCGTGCGTGTGATCTCGTATGCAGGCGTGTAAATTAGGCTCCCTGCTGATAATCGGCTTAGGTGTGGGGTGTTGCATAATGCCTGTATCTCACAGGGGCGTAAAATGTTGACCTGTAATGTAATACTAATGATGAATTAATGCAATGAAATAAATGCTGCTGAAGTGGTGCCAGCAAGCCTGTGATATTCATATTTCCCTCTCTCTCTCTCACCCCTATAGATCACTGAGCTCCTGGAGGAAGAGAAGTTGGAGGCTTGCGAGGAGCTCCCGCGGGACGGGGAGGACGGTCCCTCCTCCCTGTCCCCTAAACATGCCCATGTCACCCCCTCCTCCAGGTAAAAGCAGTTTTAGAAACATCTTAATCTGGGATCTGTCTAGTCTGTGATCCCTCTCAGGCATCTCCCTGTGCAATATAATATGAACGTGTGTGTGTGTGTCTGTGTGTGTGTGTGTGTGTGTGTGTATATTTAAAGTCACAGTAGCACACGTTACATTCACGCATTAAAATCTTATCTCTGCTACATACCTCATGATCACATGTTTTTCCACCGGCTCTTGATGTGAATCATTTGATTGTGTTAATGTACCAAAAAATTTGGTTCAGTAAGGTTTTTTTTGGAGGTGCACTTATAATGTTAGTAGGATTTGTACATCAAAAATTGTCATAATTTAGAAATAAAAGGATGTTTTCTATAATTTATATAATTTAGAATGACAAATTAGGCAGTATTCCAGTTTTTCTGGTTATTTGCTATGAATTTATCGGTCCAAGTTTAATGCTGTACCCTAAATGGGAGTTGACTTGAATGAACAATAAACAAGTTAAGTGAACAATGTTTTTGTGCCAGAAAAATATGCCTCTGGCTAAATGATTAATTGCATGAACAAATAGTTAGTAGTTATACATTAAAAAAACACATATTCTCCCCTTGAAGGGATAGTTCACCCAAAAATAAAAATTCAGTCATTAATTACTCACCCTCATGTCGTTTCAAACCCGTAAGACCTTCGTTCATCTTCGGAACACAAATTAAGATATTTTTGATAGAATCTGAGAGCTGTCTGACCCTGCATAGACAGCAGCGCAACTGAAATGTTCCCAAATCCAGAAACGTAGTAAGGACATCTGTAAAATAATCCATGTGACATCAGTGGTTCAACCGCAATTATACGAAGCTACGAGAATACTTTTTGTGTGCAAAAAAATAAAAAATAACGACTTTATTCAACAATTCGTCTCCTCTGCATCACCCTGTAGTGCCATTTTGGAGAATATCTGCTGGACGTAAACAGCGTATGCTGTTCTGTGTCAGCTGCGTCACGCCGGATCTGTTTCCTACGTTGTTGTGATTTGATCTGAATGAAAACAGCGTATCTGTGGGTTTGAAACGACATGAGGGCGAGTAATTAATGACAGAATTTTAATTTTTGGGAGAACTAACCCCTTAAGTAGCTTAAGTGTATTTAGCTACTTTTTTGTTTGCATGTTGTAGTGTAGCTAATTACTTTCCCTCATGAGTATCTTGACTGTAGCTTAGCTGCTTTAAAATATGAATAGCTTTTAGCTTCCTCAACACTGGTGTCCCTGATCCTCATCTGCCCGCTGCGTTGAGACCCATAACTGACCTATCAGCCGTCCGAGTCGTGATCTCTCTTGGCTCTTTGTTCTTCTGAAGTCGATCGGGACACACTTTCAGAGGGTGACTTCAAACTCCAGCATCCTAAATGTCAGGCGGCCTTGCCTTGATGCCAGGTTATAAAGCTAGCACTTCAGAGCCAGATCAAGTCAATGAGTCTGGGATCTTTTTTTATGTGTAGCTGTTTTTATAGACATGCTCTAGATTTTAAACATGGTATGTAAGGGTGTGGAGAGAATGATTAATGGCTGTCTTTAACCTGTAACTCTTCCCATGAGACATCGGGCGGTCTGTTGAGAGGTGTCTGGTAAGGTAACACAAAATGGATTGGTAGCATGTTTCTTTCTGACCCAAGCTAAATTGGATAGATGTTTTGGATTGAGACTAAATGGAGAGAATGTGAAAAGTTTGTGACTCAAATCAGTGATAATAAGGTAACAGTGTTTGGACAGTCGCTCCGTGTTTAAGGTGATTAAATGCTTCAACCTTTAATCCTAATAAAGAGACAGCCATGAGAGTTGGCATGTGTCAAAACAACATTGAGAAATCCTCGCTGAAGCAAGACAGATTTATATTCTTGCATTCTTTCCAAAAAAAAAAAAATTATCTGTTTGGCTCTGCTGCTGTTATTGGTTTTGTTCCATTAACCGCTCCCTTCTAAGGGTTCTCACAAGTGAATTATTTATAACATTCATAGGCATCGACTCATTGCATCATGGAAATAGCATACAAGAAACTTTATTCACAATTGATTTTTGATTTTGACATTTGACATGTTGCTTTTCTAACAATGTGACACTCTAATGAGTGTTCAAAATGTTTTTTTTTTTATGTATACTTTTCAGTATTGAACTAAAGTAAGCTACTGTTTAAAGGATTGGGGTGGGTAATATTTTTTTTATGTTTTTGAAAGAAGTCTCTTATGCTTACCAATACTGCATTTATTTGATCAAAAATACAGTAAAATTCTGAAATATTATTATAATTTAGAATAACCGCTTTCTATTTTCCAATATTTTAAAATGCAATTTATTCCTGGGATGCAAATCTAAATTTTCAGCATCATTACTCCAGTCTTCAGTGTCACATGATCCTTCAGAAATCATTCTAATATGCTGATTTGCTGCTCAAGAAACGCTATAATCGATGTTGTGTCGTATTAATCTTTTATTATTGTTTCTAATTCATTTCTTATTATCAGCAAAAGCAGTTTTGCTACTTAATATTTTTGTTGAAACCGAGATGTATATTTTTCAGGTTTTGATGAATAGAAACTGTATAATAGAATTTTTGAAACATTATTACTATCACTTTTGATCAATACATTCTTGCTGAATAAAATTATTAATTTCTTTCCAAAAAACAAAAACTTAATGACCCTAAACTTTTGAACGGTAGTATATTTTTAGTCAACCTTCTTTTTGGTCAGCTTGTTGCAATGCATTCTGGTATTGCCTTTTCTGTGAAGGATACATGCTCTGCTGCCTTAGAATTTGAACAAAATTAGGTCTTAAAAGGCAGCATAATCTTACTGCGTATCTTTTAAAACAGTCTTTTTGTCAGGAGGACACATGTGATGCTGTAAAATGCCATCTTGGTAGGTTTTGGAACAGAAGTATAGTGTGCATTTGTGTTGCATAAATAATGATCGTCACCAAAACAAGTTCAGACCATCTTCTGTGAGTGGCAAAGCTCCAGACGCCCTGTCTGTCTAGTATCTACTAGTATTACGATCTTAGGTACACTTCACTAATCCTGCGCAATTTGAATTGTTTAGTCTCTGCATGAACAGCTTTGGATGGCAGCTGCCTTAGTAAGTCCAAGTCAGACACAAGCAAACACCATGATAAGATGGGAAAGGGGCGGAGCATAGCTGATAATTAATATGAGCACATCCAAGCGCTCTGGGTCTAATAAGCTGTTCATCAGTGCTTTTAAAAGATTCGCCCACGGCTCTTTTCAGCACAAAAACGTTTGAACATATTTACAGCATTTCTTTCCAGTATTTTCGGTAAATATATGAAAACATTTGGACATCAGTTTTTCTTCCAAATCACCTTGAATAAAGGGCACAATAAGTCCTGTCAAGAGTATTACATTATTTGATTGAATTATTTGATTATTTTGTGATTTATTTCCTATGCAAAGATGTTAGCCAAGCATTGCAATGGCTGTTTACATTGACGCTTTGAAGGAAAGGTCGCGCAAAACAACTCATTTAACTGAAAACGGTCTGTTTGGCTGCAGAAAACTTAAGTGGACCTTTTAAAAGTATGTCATGACCCTTTTAAGGCCAAGAAGGCTTTTACATCGTAAACACCCTTAAGGACATGGGCCATGTCACAACAGAGGCATACAGGAGCATTGTTATTGTTATTTTTTTTTTATGCTGTGATGGTATCTTTAATGGCCTGTCATTCACAGCAGTTACAGATAGAATTTTATAGCTTTTATAATATGTTACGAGGCATTTTTGCTGTCAGGATAGCAAATAATCAATGATTAACTTCAGAGAATGCAATTTAGAGAATGAACAATGTGCTATAAATGCCTCCCAAGCTGTATTTTCAGTTTCCATTTAAGTAGTTATCATGTTTTGTAAAATTGCTTTATGCTTCTCAAATCATCAGTGAACATATGGTCTCGTATACTTGGAGTCAGAACAGGTTATCCAACAGTCATGTGTGTATGTAGATGATAAAATGAGGAAAAAGGTCAAAGCGTCTGTATTTGGTGGCATCTTGAGACAGAGTAGCAGGACTTGTTTATGTCGGGGCCCTGCAGTGATTATACTGGCCCCCATTGTGCCCCAGTGGAATCTGAAAGGGTGTCGCACATAAAGCTAAATATAACCGCTGCAATGTATCCTTCACCAGCTATGGAAAATGCTTTTCACACAGCCCTAAAATAAGCGTCAGTAGATTGGTGTTCTTGAGACATGTTGTTCAAGCTTTAGAACGTGTGAACAATTTTTGACAGCATTGGTCTGTAGGTGGAAGGGTCAGTTACTACTTTCACACTTGCACACCACCTGAAGACTGTCTACACAGCTTTACATTATAGACAGAGAGGCCATCATAGATTCTTTCACCCTCACTGAGCGTTCCTTACAGATGACTGTAGTTTAAAATAAGGGTTGTTCACACTGAAATGGATAACTTGATGACTTGCAAAGTGACTTTAAAGTTGTATGTGTAGTATGTCCTGGGAATCGAACCTGCGACCTTGGTCCTTATGTTACTAGTGACATAATCTACGGCTGATGATGATACATAGGGCAACTTTTTGAGCAACGTTGCCTTCAATGGGCAACCAGGTGAGACACAGGGCCCACGACCGATCTAAAGTATCCAGATAGAAATTTGTTACCCATTCTCAGTGGAAAAGTGCACAAGCAACATTGAAGGTTAACAAAAAGTTGCCCCGTGTATCATCAGCCTACCAGTTGAGCTTAAGGAGCACTAAATTCCAGCGACAATCCTCCTGGAGCACAATTGAGATTGCTCATCGACTGGCATTTGTGGGATTCAAACCTACAACCTTTTGGTTTCGAGCTTAGATCTTTAATCACAATGGCACATAATAGATAGAGAGGCCTTCATAGATGCTTTCACCCTCACTGAACGTTCCTTACAGATGACTGTACTTTAGTCTGTAGTTTGAAATAAGGGTTGTTCACGCTGATAATGATAGCTTGA